CCCCAAAACCCCAAAACCCCAAAACCCCAAAAGATATTATATGTATAGATTGAAAGATCCACTTTATTTGATAATTAATATAATTTACTATTAAAGAAAAAAAAGTTAAATTTCGAGTAACTTAACAATTAAATTACTTATATTTACGTGATATTGGTTGATATTTTTCATTCTATCATCGAATTCTAGGTTAGAGTTGAATCATCTTGAGATTATTGTGTCAGATTCAAGTTATCTTCAACAACCTTCTCTTTAATGAATTTTTCCTATAAACTATACTTGCTTGGACTTATTGTACCAGCAGTTTTGCTGAGCAGTTTTTCATCTCTTTTCTTCAAAATGCCTGGTGGAGTCGCCTTAGATTTTCCAATAGATTCAGGCTTCTTAGCTAGTGGCCTTGCTGAAGCTTTAATTTCTTTGAATATTTATTCCTCTTCTTCTGCATCTGTTCTTTTATTTTGATAAGCAGTCAAAGGCTATTGCTACTAATGGCTGTTATTTTAATTAAAGTTATGATTCCCTCTGTACTTGCCTCTCCATTTAGATACTTGTACATTTGAATTATTCCCATTACTATTATTGTATTAATTTCCAGGTCGATTATTATTGTTGATATAATTATTCCGATTATTTTACTAAAAGATATTCTGCTTCTAAAAATTACTTTAGTTATTATAGCCTCCGTTATTGCTGATAAAGGGTTTATTATTCTATGGGCTTATGCTGTGATTAAACTGCTGCGGCTATATTTAAACCACTGGAGATAACACTTATGGAGGCACTTTGCTTTTCTTCAAAAGAGCATCTAATTGCCTAGATGGGCCTATTGGAAGGCCCATCTACTTAAAATCCTCAAAAGACAAATATTCAATATTAGTGTCATTAATTTGCTATTCTTTCAGCTTTTCTAGCATTTCCTCTGCTAGACCACATTATTTGACTAATCTTTCCATAAATCCTGGACCGGGTCTTAAATCTTCAGATGGCTAAGTGATTTCTCGCTATACTTATTATTCAAACCTTTTTATATTTTCTTTAATGAATGTGGCTGAATCATTATTAAGTAAATTTGGCAATTGCTTAGAAAAATCATCTTTGGAAGGAGTGATTTGAGGGTCAGATTTTATGCAATTCTAGACCTCATCTTTATTATAATGCTTATTCAGCAGCTCTGTATTAGTATGCATAATCATAGTCATCATTAAATCCTCGTCGTCTGACATAGCTATACTATTTCTTTAATTTATGAACACATTTTCCTTTCTCTCTAATTGATAAGCTTTGAGTTAGTAAGACTCTATAGGCTCAAAGCTATATTTTACTTTAAGATCTCAAGATTTTAGTGGATCTAACATAATTCCAGCCTCTTTTTCAATATTTTTAAGCGCATCTATCACAGTTCATACGTCCATCTCCTTTAATTTATCTGTTGGAAAGTAATGAGTCATCATAAAATGAAAATACTCTGCCCCAATGTTCTAGATTTCAAGAGCTTTGAAGTCGTTCTTGGCTCTTTCAAATAGGTTCCAAAATCTTAGAGGAAAGACATCGAATTCCTCTGATTTAGAGTTATCGAAAAGCATTCTATCAAGAACATTCTGGATGTACTAAAGGCACTTTGGAAAAGTCAAAAATAATCCTTAATTTTTCTACCTAATCTTTTCAATTTTCTATTGTAAAAAGATACTCTTATCAAGAGGTAATCTCTTGAAATGATCAATAATTTATTATAGATTGCTGAAGTTCCTTTTACTCTTTAGGCCCAAGCGTGATGTTATATTCCAAAGTTCTTTAATATAGTGAAAATGTGTTGACTAAGGCTTGTTGAGTTTTGGAAATGTTTCTTAAATCGCCAATACAAGCTAGTTTTAAAAGGGACATATTATCTCTGTCGTCAAATCCTCATTGAATAGCTCAGTTTGCAAAAACTCAGCCTTAAATTTGCGCAATGCCTTTAAATATGAATCCTAAAGAAGTTTGAAGCTTAAAAGAGATATTACTTGAGAATTAATATTTTAAAGCAAACTAAAGAAAACAGGAAGAAATACATTGGCCTTTGAAAAGAATATCATCACAGTGAACAGCTCCTTAAAATTAGTCTTGCTCTGAATGAAAGGCCTTCAACTAACGTCAAAGAGTATGTATTTTGGCTCTCCACTCTATCGCAAAAAATCAACATGGAGGAAAGTTTTCTCTTACTTTTAAATACTTTTATATCCAGAACAGTTGGGAGTCAGAAAAGAAGTACATTTAGATCTCTGACTTGCCGGATTAATTATTGTGAAACTTCACGATCTCCCTTCCAAATTACTCATTATTGATTGACCTTTCTTAATCGTAGTTGAAAGCAAAGATTGCATAATCGAAACTCTACTTGAACTCTCTTATTAGTGTCAAAGTATCCTTTGGTTTATTAGCTGGATCAACAAGTTTTTATTTGGATCTATCTCTTCTTGTGGGAAGCTGAGTTTTTTATTATTGTGAATTATCTGTTTCAGAATGCAAGTTTCATGACTTTTGTGATCTCTGGGAAGATGAAATTTAATTCGAATTTTGAGATATTATCATTGTATTGGGAAGCCGCCAAACTATCAAAACTGAACTCTATTTTCTGATTAATTTTAATTGCGCTTTATATTCCTACGCTCTAATATATTCTTATTTATTTAAATAATTCAAAATTAGATTGTTAATAGATACAGTAAGTTAAATGCAATAAAACTCCCGCTAAGTGATATTCATTAAATCAACATTCAAAAGCCTATCAATAGGTTCATTGATTAACAAAGATCATATGACTTGAAATCAGTAACCAATTATTAAAAACTCAAAAACTACTCTGCCAAAATATATATAATTCAGCGGGGTTTTGGGGTTTTGGGG